CGTGTTTTCTTCGCGGTACTGCCCGAATTATTAAATAATTTTAGATGCGATCAGTTGATTTTGTAATGGTGAAGTGCCGTGTTTTCTTCGCGGTACGGACTGAATTCTTAAATAATTTTGTTGTCTCTGATGGTGAAGAGTTGTGTTTTCTTTGCGGTACGAACTGGATTATTAAATATTATTTAGGTGATCTTCGGCTTCAGAGGGTTACACATAGCACGCAGTGGATGAGAAGGTGGTCAACCGATTTCGACCAAGAAATGGAAAGATTTCGCGATGTTCTGGTACTCCCAACTTTGCTTTGTTCTCTCTTTATGTCAACATCTATTGATGGACGTTTGAGCTAAGTTGGTAGCCATGTAAGGCTGTTGGCAGCACTGCGAGTCACCCAGAAAATTGTTGTCGGGGCGTGCATGTCTGGTGACGTTAGTTTTATGTGTACTTCTCTATCCGACCTCTGTCGGTCATGCGCACGCAACAGTGACACAAGTACTTGTAAATCCGTCAAAAGTTCTTTGTCTTAACACAGGGTGCCCATAGAAGTTTGTTACCTATCACGTTGGTGTTTCGGTATCATTATGGATGTTTTCAGGGGAATCCGGTCCGTCCTGAGCCTCTCGTGATCTTTTCAGTGTCTTCAGGCGAATATAGGGACATTACCGTCAGATATGACATGTTCCTCCCCCAAGCGCTTATATGGCGTTTTGCGGGACAGCTTTACATTTTTAGTCTCGTGGACATTTACCGACGTTTCGGAGGTGCTCACTATATCCATCATAATGGAGACTTTTTATACCAGCTGAGCTTAAACTTTTAAAGTAATCTGGGCAGTAGAATCAGTCCACCGCTAGAAGTTGGGCCAATGTTAAATGGAACACAAAATTTTGTTTTCATTTAGGATTTTTGGGAACGCTCAGTATATTAATCTTGTTGTCCATCCACGCGCGAAATGCATTTTGTTATCACCCAATACTTGTGTCATACACGCCATTGCTTTGACATATCGTCCGTGTATGGCGTTCTGTCTGCTCTCAGGGGGATCGCACGTGCTCACAACCATGCAGGTGGCTCGCTCTGGTTTTGAATTCCAGCAACTGCTGTTGCGATTTTATAGCTGTGGTGTTGGCATTATGTTACCGTTTCGTACTGAGTGTATAATTTTATTTTATTAGCAATGTAGTCTCAGGTTTTCAGTGAGAGTGTACCGGAACCTAACAAAGTCAGACAATTTTTTATTCATACTTACGCATACGTGTCCAAGTTATTCGGGAATTGGGTCGCGATATTCAGTCTTTAGCAGCTCAAAGCCTGGAAGTAACTTCACCATCTGCTCTAACAATGACGTTGTATTTTCTATTTATGGATTTTGCATGATCTTCAAAATAAACTGCGATCATTTCCTTAAACAGCGTTAACCAGTTTATCTTTGTAATGGTGAAGTGTAGTGTTTTCTTCGCGGTACGGGCTGAATTCTTAAGTTTCATTTGAAAGAGCTTCGGCTCCAAAGGTTAATTAGCGTTTTAGTCGTATTATTTCCTTAAACAAGGTTAACCAGTTGATCTTTTTAATGGTAAAGTGTAGTGTTTTCTTCGCGGTATGGACTGAATTCTTAAGTTTCATTTGAAAGAGCTTCGGCTCCAAAGGTTAATTAGCGTTTTAGTCGTATTATTTCCTTAAACAAGGTTAACCAGTTGATCTTTTTAATGGTAAAGTGTAGTGTTTTCTTCGCGGTATGGACTGAATTCTTAAGTTTCATTTGAAAGAGCTTCGGCTCCAAAGGTTAATTAGCGTTTTAGTCGTATTATTTCCTTAAACAAGGTTAACCAGTTGATCTTTTTAATGGTAAAGTGTAGTGTTTTCTTCGCGGTATGGACTGAATTCTTAAGTTTCATTTGAAAGAGCTTCGGCTCCAAATGTTAATTAGCGTTTTAGTCGTATTATTTCCTTAAACAAGGTTAACCAGTTGATATTTGTAATGGTGAAGTGTAGTGTTTTCTTCGCGGTACGGACTGAATTCTTAAATATTTGTTTAGACGATATTCGGTTTCAAAGGGTTAATGTGTCGTCTATCAACGTTAAACACCCATTTTTTTTAACCTCGAACGCACCGTCGCATAGAACTGAGTGTTCAGTTGCCCTACTGTACGTGAGTATTAATCACTGCCGGCTAATACTTTGTAATGCGTCGGAATGTGAGGTCACGTGTAACAAAGGAAAGATGGAGCTTTAAACGAATCGGAATGTCGTCTATAATATTATTCATCATTAACGCTTTCCACGCTTCCAACGAGATTTGTCGTCCAGAAACGTTACCCAAATGATGTCAGCGGATCCGGTCGGAAATGAGATCTCGGCCGTTCGCCATTTGTTCAGAAGAGACTGAAGTGGCTTTCTAATGGCACACAGGGCGTGAATTTCTTATCCAGTAGCAAGTTTTGTTGACAAACACTGTAGCTTCTTCGTCGTTTGCTTTTATCAGGACAATTGAAGTTCACCAGTGATTAGAGTTTCAGTAAAGTATAAAGTGGGATTTTTTTCCCCGCCACAAAATCATGTGGAAAGTTTGACCTCGTTTACTATTTCATGGTAAGGAATGTCTGAAAGTAATTTTCACTCGCTGTGGATGTATTTGGAAGAAATTAATGCGAAAGAAAATTCCTCAGTAGCCAATGATTGCATTGGGCAAACCCAAGTTTTGAGTAGAGTTATTCTTAGTAGGATGTCAGGTTATCACGCCCTGTAGTCTGGTAGACTTTTAAAAGTGTTTTAAAGGCTCTGGCTCCGGTCATGATGATGGAGGCGTTGTAACACCCAGAAGACAGCCGGCTTAAGAGGGATTTTTGTGCTCAGAATGGGCAAAGACCTGTGGCTCAGTTATCATAGTACATCGCACGTGGTCGTGTCGTTGTCGTTTATTTTGACAGAATTTGAATCCGACTGTGATGTAACTATGGCGTAATGCTTCAGAAAGCCAGGAAACAAAGCAGTGCGAACGGTCATGTGTGACCCCCCGGGGGAGTGAAAGGATCCGCGCGCAATTACCGGGCCTGTTTTCTGAAACGTGGGAACTTGGCTACTGACGGACGGTCCAAATAAGGCACCAATCACATTCGGTTGGCAGTGTTCCTAATGTCGGCTGATATCCCGGTTATTAGAACGATTCAAGTCACGGAAATATTTTTGACGAAGAGAAAGTATTTGCATTCGAGTCCTCTGCGACTGCTTCTTTCCGTGATTTTCCTCAGTACCTTGAAATTGAACACAACCACCTGCATATCGTTGATGGCATCGAAATTCATGGTTGAGTGAAGATGGACAATACTGCATGGTTTACGCTGGCCTTGTAATCCTGGGGGTCTCGGGTTCGATTCCCGGCAGTGCCCGAATTTATAACTTGTGTTGGGCAAGGCCGTGGTCTAGGCAACACGGAGTTTTCCTCCGGGGGCTTCCCCGGTTTCTCCGTGGCATCCCATTCACACACAGAAGAAGGCAATGGCAAACCACTTCTGGATCATCTGCCAAGAACGTATATGAACAGGTCCCAGTCCGAGAAAAGGATGGAAGGATCCTGTTCATATGGACCTGTCGTCAGACAGAACACTAAATAATAATAAGGGTGGGAAAGTTTGATTGGAAGATGACACCTGGAAGACCAGGGCGTTGATGGGGGGACAATGATAAATTGGTGGTCTTTAGACGGTCCCCGTATTGATTATCTGCATTGTTAGTTAATGAAACTCATTTTGCTTTGTCGGAATACTGTCTTGAAAGATTCCTCCGTTGCCATGGGTCATCCGTATGCATAGTGACAGTTTTTATGTACACGGTAAGAAAAATTGATCTTTCAAGTTCACACCTTGAAGTTAGTAAACATGTTGAACTCCGTTGGTCAACGTTTTAATTTTTTATAATTATCCGTTTTTTGAATGTAGGTTTATTTAAAGTTCTATTGACGCACTTTTTGGAGATATTTCTGAAGGACCAGTCAAATTGGTGTTGAGATTTGTGTGATTGTCCACTGTTGAGGTTTCGTTAGTGACATCTGTTCTTCAATTGGAAAGTTGTTTTTGATTCTCCATTGGTTTCTGAGATCAGTATCTGCGCGCTGGCGCCATCACTGGCAGGTGGTTAGTGGGACAATGTTGTCTTTTGTAAGTGTGGTTCGTATTCCCACCTTAATTTGCCTTCGGTTTGTCATGAGGTCGTTTACCGTTGGTTTGTTATGAGGTCATTTACCGTTTTGGGCCACATTGCCATTTTAATTATGTCTCTCTCTCTCTCTCTCTCTCTCTCTCTCTCTCTGCGCCTCTGACATTGGCCTTCAAAGGCGGTATCCAAAAAGCTGGTCTTATTTCGTGTCGATGTGGCCGGTTCAAATTTTCGCTGAGATGGAACTGTTTTTGAGAATATTTACGAAATTTAATTTTTTTTGACGATGTTTCAGTTAGTTTCAGAATGAACTGGCGAGGAAAGTTTTTGGATCCGAGAAACTACAATTTGGATTTTAAAATGTAACTGATGGTCTAAAACGGTCAGATATAGGATAAAAGTTGTATTTTATTAATGTAATTAATGTAATATGGACCAATATATAACGATGGGCCTCATAACTTATACTGTTCATTGATACGATGATAAAATTAAGTTGATTTGGATGTGTAAGACATGTAGCATGCATGGCGAAATGCGCGCAGTTTGACGGAGAACGTGAAGGCGAGGGGGACTTTTAGTCGCAGACATTAGGATGTGATCCAGTGGCAGGCTTTTGTGAACAAGGTATTGAACTTCTGGGTTCCATAAATGCAGGGATTTCTTCATTACGTGAGCGTTTTAATTTTGTGAGACACTGACCTTTGTTCTATTAAATGAAATGGCTGTGGTATATAACGGAAGAGGTGATTCGGGAACCCAGGATTGACCTTCAGTCTGCAGGACCTCTGGTCTTAAATCGGCCTGCATTATGAAGCATTGTAATCTGACTTGTGTTTAATCTGTTTCAGACAAGGCAGGCTTCCAGTCGCCGTATGGCACCATGGATAATGGCATGGTAAGTATTGATCCCTTAAAATAATTATAACTTCTTCCATGTTCTTCAATCGATTCTTATTTAATTCTTATGGACCGACATTCTTATCATTGTTCCTGCTTTGTTTCTACCTGTAATTTAATAGATTTTACGGAAATATTGGAATTAGGTAACGATTAACATTCGATCAGACTGTTTCCCTGTTGATGGTACTTTAATTTCAACATAATTGCGATGTTTCCAAGCATTGTGAAGTGAATTGAAATTTGCGTTCAGTTTCTTTACGTAATCGTTCGAGACTGACCAGTTGCTGTAACTTGTGAAGTATTGAGTTTTAAAAATGAGGGTTTCGGAATTTTGACTGTCCTGTTTCATAAAATTAAAAATAAATAAATAATTTTTTTCTGATTGGAAGATCACAGTATATATGGGAAAGAGGATCTGTGAAGAACGAGGAGACTGTACTTGTGTCGCGATAACATTCTCATTTGAATGTGAAAGGGATGACGATAATGAAGACTTTACGAAGTTGTCTTCTTGTATTTTATTTATCTAAATATGTGTAGTATTTGGTAGTAAAATTTCAGCACTGCGAAGTAAATATTTATTTTGTTAGACTGCAGTTTGATTTAAGGGGGTTGTCGTGCCCCGTGCTCCCCAACTTCTAACCTGTTTTTATTCGTGTTAAGTTTTTGTCTCTGCTGTTGTCTTCTTGTCAATTTCTCATCCCTTCGATTCTCGACCACTCGCCAGTGCGTGTGCACTTGACATTTTGTCTCGTTTTGTAATGTACGACGACAATTATTTGTTTCCGTCGCTCTGATATATTTTATTTTATTTTTTTTAGTCCGTGTTTATTTAAATTTCACTTCCCTCTCTTTCATTGCAAGTTTCCTGTCCCTATTTCTTTAATCTTATTCACTTTGTTTTGTAGTTTTTCTTTGTTCAATTCTTTATTTCATGCTTTGTGCTTTAATTTGTGGGTCATTTATTTTAATTGTATTTTTTCTATATTTTACATGCGGACTACGTTTTTTTGTCACTGCTGCCTCCATTTTACCTTGCCTTGGGTTCTGTTTTTTAATTATTTTTGCATCAATTTCATTCTTACCCTCGTACTCGTATGTTAATTAACCTGTCATGTGGTGGCTGATACCGTATTATGGACACCCCTGCAGTGGTAGTGTGGGACTCGAACCCCGAAGGTGCAGGTGCATGTGAACCAATAAAGTTGCAATGGACTGGTTTTATTGCTTGAGGTCACTCGATCCGATCCGGTTTGGGGCATTTTGACGTTCTGTTATCCCACAGATATTATGGTGGTGCCACGAGAGACGTGCCTTATATCGGTGTTTCACGTGGCCGTGGGATCATTAATTAAAACAAACAGATTGTGCCTCGGCGGCAGCCATTTTCTTGACGGGATGCTGCGTTCACTTGTTTTGCTGTGTTGATCGGATAGATTGTTCGGGTGACGAGGTTAACCTTCTGAAGCCCGAAGTTCGTCTGAGTGATATTTAGGAATTCGGTCCGTACCGCAAAGAAAACACAACATTTCACCGTTACGAGGATAAATTGGTTAACGCTATTTATTCGGAGATAAATTTTAAACTCGTAAATATGCTGTGGGTACGGTACATATAATTACCATTGATTGGAAGGGCTAATGAACATTAAAAGTTACGCCAGAAATTACGGGTTAATTGTATGTGAATATCACATAAACGCGTTTGTAAAATTGTCGGATTCGGTAGGCAATTTAAGATGGCGTCTGAAATTGACGGAATTATTGTGCTCTTTAGGTGTTATTTTCTCTGCAAAAGTTTCGAAGCGAAAGTAGGATTTATGTCGTGAAAAATTCACAGTTCCGTGGTGTTGGTCCTTTCTTGAGAAGCTGGTAGTTACTAACCCGAACTGTTCATTGTAAGTGTGATTTAACAGACCGGTGAATGTTCTTTCTTTGATGGTTAACAGTGAGGATTGTCATCTCTTCCCCACCAGTAAATGTAATCGAGCAATTTACTTCTCCCACGATTACTTCCTACCCTACAGTTCACCCACCCCTCTCTTTGCTCTACAAGGGGTGTCCTCCATGGGTTACATCACATGTGGAATGCTGTATAAATCTTTGTGACTGTCTGTGTGATCGATTTTGACAACAAGGAAAGATACCAGAAAAAATGAAAATGGCTCTTATACCGAGGAATCAAAATTTACGTGAAAACTAGAATAATTTATACGAGATTTATGCAAAAATGCCGACCAGAATTTTGAGAGGAATTACTTAAAATTTAAAACCAATTACGTGAGGGCTTGGGAAAGGATAAACGAGTTTGTGCTAGGAGAAACATCAGTTAGATGAGACGTAATTCGTAACCTTTGTTCTGCGACTAGACTGAGGCATTCGACAGGGTTAACACGAATAAACTGTAGCAAATCTTGGACAGGGCAAGAACTGTCAGAGCATGTTATTAGTGTCTTGAGTTTAACATTGCAGTTAGACAATGATTTGCGTTCTCGCCTTTCCCCAGTACCATTCAGTTTTTATTTAGATAATGTGGCTTCTTATTAGAAAGATGAGTGGGATGTTTTAAACATTACGAATAATTTTATTACAAAAAAATGTTATCTCTCGTGTTTGTAGGTGATAATGAATTGGCCGTACATTGACCATTTCATTACGTAATTAAAGAGATAAGTAATGCCAAGTTTAACTATGGCGAAAGAAATGAAATGGGTGTCATAGAAAGGAGGAATGTACACCTGCAGAATCAGAACTTGCCGTAGATAACGGAGTGATTGAAACGTGCCTTGTTATCAATTATCAAATTAAAAAACATAGCTGGACAATGTATGGCGCACCATGAACAATAGAATAATATAAACCAGGCTTAAAAAAGACAATGGCTGTTCTAGAATATCTGTATGGTAGCAGCAAGAGATAGGAGCCAATGAGCGAAGTTATTCCTGCGATACGCATTTGAAGGAACAAGTGAGGACAAGAAAGTAGGTGAATGCTGAATAAAATTATAAGAACACGCACGGCGTATGCAAAAAGATCGGATACCACGGATAATTGTACATGTAGACAAAAAGGGATGGAGAAGTCCAATAGGAAGACCTAGAAATAGATGGACAGATCGGGTAGTACCGCTGGTTAAAGAAATGGAAGGATGCTAACAACGCGTTTTCGTTGAATGACTTGTCGTAGCTTAAGCGCGCGTGTTCTGATTTCGCGTACCCCCAGATATAATTTCTCTCCCCAAAGTTGTTGATGTATAATTCAAGTTATACGTAGTATATAATCTACATCGAAAATAAATTAAATAAATTACATTACTGATTATTCAGTGTTTATCATAAAATAATATTTTTCTTTTTAAATTTCACGTACCCCCTAAGATGTCTTCGCGTACCCCCAGATATAATTTCTCTTCAACTTTGTACCCCCAAAGTTGTTGGTGTATAATTCAATTTATACGTAGTATATAATCTACATCTAAAATAAATTAAATAAATTACATTACTGATTATTCAGTGTTTATCATAAAATAATATATATATTTTTTAAATTTCACGTACCCCCTAAGATGTCTTTGCTTACCCCCGGGGGTACGCGTACCCCAGGTTGAATACCACTGTTTTAGACGATGGGCAGAGGTGCCATAGACTAATTGATTGGTTTTTGTTTGGTTAATTTAGACCCTGTTTCAATTACATGTGAGTGAGTTGAGTGAGGTGAGAATATGTTCTTAAATAGAGTGTGTGAGCGTTTTGAAGTGCTTAAACGAGACTCATTTGAAAGTAATATCTCTTTTTTATTCGCACGTCGTGTGCATAACCGGTCACCTGGCCAATATTCGAAGTGGAAAAGGTCCCGAAAACGTTCGCTGAGCTTTGCTGTTAACTTGTCTTGTCGATGTGAGAATTTTGTTTGTTTGTGTTGCGTTGGTCAGAGCTAGAAACAGCAACAACTACAATCCAGGAACTTGATTTACCTTTCGTCTGGTGGTAGTCGAGATAACCATTTAAAAAGCTTATCCGAGTAAGCCGTCATATTGACGTCTCTGTGTGGGCTTTCGGTTTTTCGTATCAAGCGATTTCTGAGGAAGGTATTTGGACATACGAAACAGGAGGTATGGAGAAAATTACACCACGAAGAGCTTCATGTCATATGATCAGTCACGGTTGTGATAATTAGCACACATGGGGAAATTAGATATTGAAGATACATAATTCCAGTTGCGACACCTGAAGTGAGGAGACAACTTGGGAGACGTAGGCGTAGATAATATTAAAATTGATGTTTCAGAAATTGGATGTTTTGTTAAGGACTGAACTAAGTTTATTAAAAGATTTAGTAAGATTTTGTGAACACGTAGATGGATCAGTGGGCAAGGCAGGTAATTTGTTGACCAACTGAGCAGTTATAAACTTCTTGTGGAAGACTGCGTCAGAGGTTAAATTTACATTAATTCTTAATCGTGTTTTGTTCTCAGTGTAAATCGATTTAATCGAATTAATGCAAAATTCTTTTTGCTTAAAATGGTTGGACATTCGTTGGAGTCGGTAACTATTCTGAATACTTGAAGTACATTTACAGTGAATTAATTGGGCGAAAGGGACTTTTGGCGTCGAAAGATGTTTGCCGTAAAAAAAATACCATCGTTTTACCAAGAAGTGAAATCGAGCGGACGCATCTTAAGAAATCGGACATCAACAGGTCAGGTGTAAGAGCCAGAAGTAGCGTGGTGAGATTACAGGTTCTTACGGCGTCGATTATGAAGATGGCTTGTCTTCTGGGATCTTGCGTTGTACAAAATTGGCCGACGTTTCGGAGGTGCTTATGGCCTCCATCGTCATCGTCCTGATGATGTAATATATATGTGAGGTGATGAATCGAAAATATTTTAGTCACAGTTTTTTCCTCAGGCACGTGCTTGTTGCCGATTGTGTAGTAGATCGCTCCTGAGTTCTGCGAATCGTGTCCTCCACATCACGCACGCCGTCGCGACCTGCTGATTGCTTCATGTGAAGCTGCCGAACACATCACGCGATACACGTTCGTCCTGAAGATGGCAACTGTAGTGTTTGCCGAAACGGAGAACTTTTCAGCGTTTGACGCTGGTAATCTTCTTCAGCCGTGCCGTGCGTTGGTCCAGGCTGGAGTGTTTTTTGTAATACCGAAAGATACCGTTGTATTTGGCTTCAGATTGTTTTAAGAGGAAGATTTCTGTTAATGATGCCTGCATCTTACGTCAGTCTTCCCCTCTGTTGTCATGGCAACCAGTGGCGGCTCTGATATTTATTTCTTCTTATTTTTTTTAACTCCTCTTAGTCTTTTAATTTTTTATGTATCTTTTACGTTATATGTTTTTTATCTCTTTTTATTTTCTTATTGCGTGTTCCTTCTGATTCTTCTTCGTCCTATCTTTTCTCGTTGAACTCTGCGGTTGCGTCCGGATGTTGAGACTTGATGACATTCGTGCTGGAAGTTTCTTCTGTCTATACAACTACTCAATGGCGCACTGTCTTTCTTGGAAAGTCTCCAGTCGCTCTGTCAGTCAAAGGACGTCCAGTAGAGTCCCGAAGGTTTATTTGCCGTGTTTTTAAAAAGGTTTTCCTGAGCCTGTTGTATCCTGCCCACCCTTGTTATTTCTCGAATATCCATTTTAATATCATACATTGTTTCACGATGTAGTCTCCAAAGTAGTGTCTTCTGTCGGTGTTTGTTGAGTGAATGTTTGTATCTGTGGTCTCTCCCATGCATGCTACGTACATCACCCATCACTTTAATTTTATAAGATGGTAAAGTTGCGTCATATTGTGATATAATAAGTATATATTAAATCTTGTCCGTCTAATCACAATAAATGAACTGAAACATGTCGTGAAAAATGATGGTCTAATATAAATCGAATATTTCGATAAAGAACATCATTTAATATTTTAAATATTTTAAATGTTAATTATTGTAATATTTTAATATTTAATAAGAATTTATTGTGATTAGACGGACAAGATATAATATATACTTAATATATACTTTAATTTTACTTTGCGGAGACATGTCGTGTTTCTTCTGATATTTAATTTCTACATTTTTTGTTAACAAGACGTGCTTTATGATATCAGGTAAACTGATTTCGATGATGCAGTGTTACAGGAAGTGGTCTCCGCAGGGGTAGCTTATTCCTGGCTGTCGTGAGAACCTCGGCTTTCACCAAGTAGCCTAAGTACAAGGTCTCATTAGTCTCCCTTCACCAATAAAAATGGGGCAGCGCTGTGCAAATTACACAGTGGGACGCGCCCGTCTCTCCAACTTGTACGTTTTGCCTCTCCTTTAACTTTCCTTTCTTAGGTTCCGTTTGTTTTTTGTTCTTTCTGTTTGTAGTTTATTTGTTTTGTTTGGAACTAGGACCCATTACTGCTTTGCTGGTGGCTTACGTTGCCTGCAAGAATGATCTAAGTCCCATCAGGACTCTTTATGTACCTACCTCGGTCTCTCGGTAAAGCGTTGCTGATTTTGATAAAACTGTTGAGACAACTTTTATTCTGAATGTGTCCATGCCCGTTTCCGATAACTCTGTCGATAAAATGACGAGCTGCCGGGGTTCGGTTGTCTCAGGCACCTCTGCTTACCTACTGAGGTCCAGAATGAACGTTACCTCCACGTCCCTTATACATCATGACGTTGTGTACGTGCAAGAATTTGCCTTTGGTGTTTGATAAGTACATTATATACTTTGCTGTCCTGTGTGTGTCGTTTTCCTCATTACTTTCGAGACGTGGAATTTGTAGACAGACCCGCATGGGGTTTAAATGAAGTGGTCATGGCCAGATTTAAGATACCGTTCGTGTATTTTCATGGGGGTCCTGAGGAAAAACATTAGTAGCCTCAGTATAGCCGATATACTAATACGAGGCAGGTGTACAAACTATTCGGTCTTGACTTTTGGTTATTCTTTGTTTTTGATGTTCTCTATACCTCTCGTTTTTCTGCGAGAGGTTGTTCGCTCCTCGTCTGAGTTTACGTAATCATGTAATCAGCTGACTGCTGCTTAATTAGCTTTTGCAACTGAAGAGGTCATGCAGGTAGCTCTCCCCCTCCCTGCCTTGGGATATGCTGCACTCTTACTGGAGGAAGAAAGAGCCAGCCAGTAGTAGTAGTAGCGGAATGAGACGATGAAGGAACTACTAAAAACGAAAGAAAGAAATAAACGAAAGGAGAAGAAAAAGTTTTGAAAACGGTAAGGCGAATTAAAAGACGTTGAAGGCAGCGGGAAGGAAAACTTTAGTTTAGCAGCTTGGCGATGTTGTTAAGGTCTGTCTGTGCTTGCTTGCCTTTTCATTGCGACACGCACAGGGTGTCCCGAAACTCTGATGTCTACTATCGATACGCGAATCTTTGCATTGTCCCTTAACGTCGAAATTGTGGACCCTGGTGAAATATCTGGTCTTCCTAGCGAAATCAAAGTATGAACTGACCCCTTGAATGAAGCACATCTAAATACCACTTAAAAATCCACTACTTATCGCAGGGGAAAAGACACCACATCTCCGTAACAAGTCGACAGGTGTCGATCGTGTAGTACAGAGATATTACCTGGCTCTTGTGTAACCAGTATGTTCATCACCGTGTTGACAACAGCGTTACAGTGGTCTTGTTCCCGGACAGTCCCGTTCACACTATCACATTCTCCTTCTACGCCTCGGTCTACCAAGCGTTCGCTTTCGTCTAGGTTTTTGTCTCTTCCACCCGTGCTACATGCCCTGTCCGCCCAATCCTTCTTCATCTGCTCATTTTTATATTTGATTAAGAGGGCAAAGTTTTCTTCAGTCTTCTTTCACGTGATCTCTGTTAGGTCCAGGTGTTATCTGCCATATGTTCACCCCGTGTAGCAAAAGACCAAGTTTCACACCCATGCAGAAGGACAGGTATCATTATGACGTCTTGTTGATATCGCATGCCTTTGTATTACGGCTGACGAGCCGTGGGAACACTTTCGTGTATATATTTTTGGGACACCTGTAGATTCGTATATTTTAATATTCGCGGGTGTTGATAACAGACAGGAAACCGAAATATACTGAAGGTAATGAATGATTCGAGCATTCTCTGGATTTAATCTGCTCCGATTTTATTTGTTAGTGTCGTTTTTGAATATTTGAACATACGAATTACCTTTTTTGTAAGCGGATTTTGTATTACGGGTTTGTCCATTGTTTTCGTCGTCCTTAATTTTGGTGAGGAAGCAGTTTCTTCGTCATTTCCCACTGTTTGCTAAAGTGAGTGTCTGCGTGGCGGGTGACAGGTGTTCGATTCACGGTTGGGGTGGAATGTTTCGGTTTGTAACCACTGTGTCGGCACCGGCAGCTTCCTATCCGATATACACCCGGAACTCTTTCTTCGGGGATAAAGTTGACCACTTCATTTTTCACGAGGTTTGAGGTGTGTCGGGACTTGTGGTCTGGTTTGGTACAGGTAGATGGATTTGAAACTTGAAATCTATGACATTTGTTGGCTTATTTTGTAATTTTTATTTCAGACAATTTCGGTATAATGTATTTAGTATTTTGTAACAAAATAAGTTTCGAGGAAAACAATAAATCCTTCTGGTCCAAACGATCATTATGGAGAGTAGTTCTGTGCGTCTCAGAATCTTAGGTTAGGTCATCGTCTTTGACATGAACTGTGCTTCAAAATAAGTTCTTCGACCCGCTAAGTGAGGAGAGTACATGAACACGAGTCGTCAACGGAAGTGGCAAATTGGTTGACTTTTCTTTGTTTCCTCTTTGTTTGTTTGTTTCTTCCATGACTGCTTGGTGTTTCCGCAATAAGGACTTAAGTTCTCGGTTTTCCAGTAGTTGTTAAGCGGTATTGCGTTTTGCTGATGTGAATTGTGAAATTGTTGTTGTTGTTGTATTTTCAGGCGTACGCTAACAGCTACGGTGGAACGGGGAATGAAACGTTCGGCCCTGAGTCTCCATTTTTCCCGTTCGGCAACGCGCCGCGCCGGCCGCCGGTCACAGGTGAGTACTTCCTGAAGAAGGCACCTTGGTATTTAGCGAAATCTTTTCGATGTGTATATTTGATCATATTTCAAAGATGCAGCGGAAATTTTCGAAAGGTGATGCTGAATTGTGAGTTTGTGTTAGTTATGACGTTTGTATGTAAGATTTGAGGTTTTCACGGCGGTGATTCTGGAGATTGGTGTATTTTGGGTTATTGCGCCGTGTAGTCTGGCAGAAGTTTACCGACGTTTCAGAGGTCATGCTGTCCCAGTAATCAGGGCGATATTAGTGTGATTTGTGGTTTTTAAGTGTTGAAAAACTTTTTTGTCAACGCTCGTGGGGCTGCCGTCTGGTGTCTGACTTTAAAACTGGCGCCGCTCATTTTATTCACGTGCAACAAACTCCCATTGACGTCACAGCGGTGATGATTCGTGAAGTTCTTTGCGGAGGGGGGGGGGAAATCTTAAACCGACATCTCATGATAATTTTGGTAGAGTTCATTAACCGCGGAACGGTTTATGAATTTGGAGCTCGTGACCGCCATTGTTCCATCGTGCTTATTATATCAGTGTCCACTTGAGTTTTGTTGGTGCCAGCTGACATGTTCCTCTGATTCTAGTAGGCGATATGATAATGTCTTTTCTGCGAGCAGAAATGTGTAGGAAAGATGCATTTCTTTTCAACGGAGTTGATAACAACGCATAATGCTGAGGGTTTTTTTTATATTGGAAAGCACAGGATGTATTTCGATTAAATTTAGTATCGGGGATATGGGGCCACCAAAATTCTTCGTGTTTCATTAGTTCTGGTTAGGTTAGGTTCGGCCTAGTATAAACCCTGGTTTACAGGAAACCAAGTTTAATTGGTACATTCCATAAAGTACTTGAATCTATTTTGATACGTTAAGTATGTAACAAGTCACGGTGGTCTAGCGGTTAGAACGCTGGCCTTGTAATCTGGTCTCGGGTTCGATTCCCGG